AGGAAAAGACTATGGATGATGAGGATGAGAATGCATAGACTTATGGTGATGGGGGGTTTTTTCTCGTTGTTCGTCAGCTAATGTACACTCCTAAGTTGAACAAAATATTCAGAGATGCAACATCTTTCAAACTACATGCATTGTGAATCAACGGGTTTGTTAGTTGATTATTGACGATGGCAGTAGTGAGAATATAGTGTCTAAGGAGGTTATGGACAAACTACAGTTGCAGACTGAGAAACACTCTTCTCTCTATACCATCGGTTGGATCAAGAGCGTGGGCGATACTAACGTAACTAAACAATGTTGTATCAATTTTTCTATTGGAAATTATAAAGATGATATTATATGTGATGTTGTAGACATGCATGGTTGTAATATTTTGTTGGGAATGCCATACAGTTTGATGTAGATGTTGTCCATAGAGGGAAAGAAAATACTTATACCTTTTTCAAAGATGGTGTCCAGGTTGGTCTTGCTCCCACAGTGAGCAAAGGTTGTTCCATAGCACCTCCAGCTAAGGGTGGATCCTTTCTTGTTGTGCCTACCATTGAGGAGGGTGCGAAGCAAAGTGTGGAGGTGTATACTGTAGTAATGAGGGACGAGGAGGTAAGGGCAGTTGAGCCCACACCAAGGAGTTACTAGCTGAGTTTAAGGAGATCATACCGGAGGCGTTACCAGGTAGTTTAGTCCCTCTAAGGGACATACAACATCATATCGACTTGGCACCTAAGGCTAGTCTACCAAAATTGCTCCATTACCGGATGAGTCCCAAAGAGTTTGAGATCTTCCAGGGTCAGGTTGATGAGTTGCTATGAAAGGGGCAGATTAGGATGAGTATGAACCCTTGTGTTGTTCCTACTCTGCTCATTGATAGGAGTAGAAAAGTGTGTGTTAATAGTTGGGATATTAACAAGATTACTATGAAATATCAATTTCTATACCTCGATTATAGAAATGCTCGATATGTTGAGGATACCAAAGTATTCTCTAAGGTTGAATTGAAGAGTGGGTACCATCAGATTCGCGTTTGTCCAAGTGATGAGTGGAAGACTACCTTCAAGGTTAAGGAATGGTTGTATGAGTGGTTGGTTACACCTTTTGGTCTTTCCAATGCTTCCAACACTTATATGAGAGTGATGAATTAGGTCTTCAAACCTTTCATTAGGAAATTCATTGTTATTTATTTTGATAATATTCTAATTTATATCCATGATGAGACTAATCATTTGCAGCACTTGAGAGTAGATTTTGTAGCTCTGTAGGAGATGAGCTTATTGTGAACTTTAAGAAATACAACTTCATGATTAATAGCCTTGTGTTCTTGGGCCGTGTAGTTAGTGCTATAGGTATCTTTGTTGATGATGAGAAGATTCAAACGATCTAGAAGCCACCTACACCACGAACAGTCATTGAAGTTCGTAGTTTTCATGGCCTTGCAACCTTCAATAGGAGGTTTGTGAGGAATTTTGGCATTATTGCAACACCCGTCACTAATTATCTGAAGTATAAGCAATTGTAGTGGACTCATGAAGTAGCAATGCGTTTTGAGCTACTCAAGGAGATGCTGACCACAACTCCTATATTAGCACTACCTAGCTTTGAGAAGCTGTTTGAGGTAAATTGTGATGCTTCTTGTACTGGCATTAAAGCAGTTTTGTCACAGGAAGGGAGACCTGTAGCATTCTTCAGTGAAGCTCAGTGAGGCCAGATAGAATTGGTCTACATATGAGCAGGATTTTTATGCAGTTGTGAGAGTGTTGTAGCACTGGCAGCTTTACCTGATTTAGAGGGAGTTTATTCTAAATACAAATCACCAGTCATTGTAGTACCTCAATAGTTCTACTACTCCTGACCGTATGCATGCCTGGTGGGTTACTGAGATTCAAAAACTCACTTTCACCCTCAAGCATAAATTTGGCCAGTTGAACAAAATGGCCAATGCCTTGAGCCGTCAGAGTATGGTGTTGACCACTGTTCGCAATAAGGTGATCGAGTTTGACTACTTGAACGATTGTATGCAGATGATGAAGACTTTCAGGAGATTTGGACACAATGCTTCGATACACTTGGGACTTTAGGAGACTTTCAGGTTCATGATGGATTTTTACTCAAAGTCATGTGGCTTTGCATACCCTGAGGATCTTTGCATGAGTATATCATTCAAGAGTTACACAACGGTGGCTTAGGACGGCGCATAGGTCGAGATAAATGTGTAGCTTTGGTAGAAGAGCATTATTTTTGGCCCAACTGAAGTAGGATGTGGAAAGGTTTGTCAAGCAGTGCTACACATGTAACACTACTAAAAGACATGCACAGAATACTGGCCTTTCCACCCTTTGGTAGAGGAGCATTATTTTTGGCCCAATTGAAGCAAAATGTGAAATGGCTTGTCAAGCAGTGCTACACATGTCAGATTGCCAAAGGACATGCATAGAATACCAGCCTTTCCACCGCTTTTCCCATTCCAAATGCACCATGGGAAGATCTGTTCATGGATTTTGTGCTGGGTCTATCACGGACTCAATAGGATATGGATTCAATTTTTGTTGTTCTTGACAAGTTTCCCAAGTTGGCTCACATCATTCCGTGTAGGAAAACCTTAGATGCTTCTCATGTGGCTCATTTATTCTTTTTGGAGGTTTTTTGTTTGCATGGCATTCCAAAGACATCACTTCTGACTGAGAAAACAAGTTCCTTAGCCACTTTTGGCACATTTTATGGAAGCGGTTGGACACTTCATTACACTATAGTAGTTCAAACCTTCCAAAGATAGGCAAACAAAGTGGTGGACCAAACATTAGGAAATATTTTGTGAAGTGTTTGCGAAGAGAAACCGAGGCAGTGGGATAACACCTTGTCCTAGGCAGAGTTTACTTACAAAAATGTTCCCAATAGGTCTATTGGCAGGTTCCCTTTTCAGATTATTTACATCTAGACACCTATCCATAAACTTGACCCGGTTCCCTACCTAAGCTTCTAGAGATGAGCATTGTTGTTGAGCACATGTTAGAGAAGTTGACAGATGTGCATGCCAAGGTGAAGCAACAGTTGTAGAAGTTAGCAGCCAAGTATAAGGAAGCAATAGACAAGCACCACTGCCAGAAGCTTTTCATGGTGGGTGACATGGTGATGGTTCATTTTCGGAAGGAGCGGTTACCCGTGGGAACTTATAAAAAATTGAACAAGAAGAAGATTGGTCCTTTTTCATATCTTAAAAAAGATCAATGACAATGCTTATGTTGTTGATATTCCTATGAGATGGGCATCTCTAATACTTTTAATGTGCAATACTTGTTCGAGTTTCATTCTGCTTCCATAGAGCTTCCACAGGTTAACTCGAGGACAAGCTATTTTCAATAGAGAGGGACTGATGTAGAACACGTGACTATTGATTACTTGGAGCAGAAAGACCACTATGCGTCAAAGGCCCAAATAAAAAGCAAAATGGTGATAGTAGAGGCAAAGTGGCCCAAACCTAAAATTGATTGAGAATAATGGTGTTTGATCTAGATCGGACCAACGATCAAGACTCATCACTTTGCCATGAGCTCCTTCAGTTTTGGGCCGAATTCCATCGTTTAGGTCCTCAAAACCCCATTTTTGCAATTTTAGGAAAGAATTCAACAACTAATAATAAACCATAGGAGATTCTTAATTCAGTGTCGTTAGCTAGGTTGGACTCCACACGACATGTGCTTTTATTTTAATTAGTTAGATTGTAATTTTTCATTCTTGTTAATTTTCATATAATTAAGGATTTTATCTTTATTATGGGAACGATTAATATTTTGGTCGTTCCTATATATATTCTCTTATGTAATAAGGATTATTCATTGAATAATATACCCCTTTTTGAGATATTATCTTGTTCCTTTCTTTGTGCATTAAGAGCGTGTATATTTTATACACCTAGACTCGTAATGTTCATCGTGTTCCTTTGTTCCGTTGCTTCAATTTCACTTAAATTAATGCATTGGATAAGATTTTTTATCAAATGAGGTGTTTAGTTGCATCATTGAATATATTTGTCATTTTATAATTATATTAAAAAGTTTTAGTCATTTAACACGTGATTATGACTATGTCTTTAGTAGGGACGAAATTAAGATTTTATCTTTAGGGTGGTCAAAATGATGGCATAGACAAAAAAATTGTCCAAATGTATTATTCAACGCTTCTGGTTAACAGTAAATTTTAATTTATACAGAACATATTAAAATTAATTTTATACAATGTCATCATAAAAATTATTTTGGGTTACAACAAAAATTAGAGTAATGCTATTTTGATATATTTTGCTGATCTTATTTATTGACCAAATCATTCTCTATTAAATTGACAGTGACTTCATTATTAGTTGAGACCCACTATTGATTCAATAATTATGATGCATTAAGTCACAAATTAGGTTTAAATTGTATTTTCCTAAAAATTTGTTTGTCACCATCCACTTTTTTCCTTATTTATAATATGTTTTTATGGCTATAAATCCTCATAAATTATCGTTTCTTATTATACTATAATTAAAATAAATCATTAGTCAATATATTGCTTTTGATATAATCCATATTTGTAACTGAAATTTCAAAATTCTACTTATTTTTTTTCCTTATATTATCAAAATTAGCCAAATCAGAGTCTTCTTTAGTAAGCACTCATCCATTTGATTATATCCACCATTTATTCAGTAAATAAAAAGTCATTTAATTTATTTTTTTTGGGTACAATAAGTGAAATATTTATACATTGGTCTTTTCAAAAACTTAAAAGGTAGCAATAAAATTTTTGAAAACAAATGGGGATCTATGAAATTTTTTTAAAATATGAGGGAGGTCATGGCCCTAGACCTATACATAGGCCCGTCTCAATGTCTTAGGATGCGTGAGTTCCAATATTACATTTAACCTGTTAACAACAAAAACATGTTACCAATAGTAAATATTTTAACCATACATGTCTATTTTAACTATGATATGAAAAAAAAAAGTGTTTTACACATGGTACAATTGGGGATAGGCACTAATCTACCAAGGATGATAGCTACATTTGGGGATATGCACTATCTTGGAATAATGAATATCCCAATGATTGTTCTCCAAGACTCTTGAACTTTGGACTGACTGAGGCCATGAGATAAGGCTGGTCTGCCTTGTGATGATTTGGGCTTAACTCATGGACTGGGCCCAAGCCTGGTTTGGATCTGGGCTTTTTATTTGTCCCCATGCCCCCAAGCCCTAGTGTTGATAGGGGGTTGAGGGCATAAGTGAGCTCCTTCATTTGTGTAGACCAAGGTACCTTGTTCCACACGGTGGCTTCTTTAGCTTTCCACTCCATCTCATTTTTTAAGCTTATTTCCTCATTCACCATTGCTAGACATCCATAGTGCTAACCAACATCCTCCTTTGTTGGGTCTTCCATTAGGTTCAAAAAAATTCCATCCCTTAACAATAGAAACCCCTTTTTCAAAAAAAATTCCATCCTTTTACAATGTATAGATATATATCCCCACAAATGAGCCAACTACATTCCATTTCCTTCTTTGAAAACCCCTTCATTTTCTTTGTTTAGAGAGGCCGACATAGAGGAGGAAACATGTATGTCATAGGGAGGACGATGCAAAGGAGGACTACGAGCTCCTTGGAAAAACCATAGGTGCCAGACGAAGCCATAGGAGATGCCATGGGTAGTCCTATTGCCAATGGAGTGTGTGGGAAAGGTGGCACTAGAGGGCAAGATGCAGACATGTTGGGCGATGCCAATGTACTTGGGGCTAGAGGCGACCCCACAAGCTCTGGTCTGGGTGACGTTGCTGGCACAGGTAGGGAGTTGGGTGACAACGCTGGGAAGCTCGGCGATGACACTGGGTAGCTAGATGCTAGCGGGTAGTTGGCTAGCGTCAGTGGACAACAGCGGGATGACGTCAATGTGCTGAGTAGCAAAGGCAGAGTCCTAGGCTTTACCAGGGAGGGAGAATGTGACGCCTTTCGACTAGGTTTGGTGATTTTGTTCGCCCTTTAATTGTTCCATTATCTTGGTATTATTTTTATTTTTACTTTATTTTTTTACATTAGCTTTAGTTTTGACAGACACCGAATCTAATAAGGGTACAATGAAAACTCTGCACAAGTTTCTCAGCAAGGTAAGGGAGCTACTGACAGTGATGGCTTGAAGGTAACCTTGATTTTCAGCTCCATAGATTGTGATAGTGATATTACTAGTATTGGATCTTCCTCCCATACCCCTCTTGTTGTTTTGTGTTGCCGGATTGAGAAGGACGAGCCAACATGTTATGATTCCTCTAGGGAGATTGTTTTCTATAAGGATGTCCTGGAGGTAAGACTGAGGTTTTCCACACCTAGACCCATTTGTTGGGTTCTGGGTCAGTTGTCGCTTTCACTAGGGAGATTGACTCCAAATGGCTAGAGGGTGTTTTTGGCGTTCTTTTCATTATGGCGTCTAGTTCATGGTCAAGATGTTCTCCCCCCTTCGAGGAGTTCCTAGCATTGTATGCACTTTTGGGGAACCTCGTTCCCCATCAGGGATCGTATCACTTTGCTCTGAGGTTGGGCAAGCTAATCACTGGATTGCCCTCCAAATGTCACAATTGGAAGTTTAGGTTTTTCTTTGTAGTAAAAGAGTGGGCTGTCGAAGTAGACCGTGATTTGGTTCCCTTGAGATGGGATACTCCTCTGAGGACCAAGATAGGTATGAGTTTTAATCTACTTTTATGCCCAACTGTCATGTCCCTCATGTATTTATTGAATGTTCAGCTTCTTTTGCAGCTTCGCCTACATTATCGATGAAGCAGGAGAGTAGGCTCCAGACCATAAGGGATTATCCTGCACACCCTCCAGAGTGGTTTCCACATAATCGAAATCCTCTAGGGATAGACAGCGGATAGCTATAGTGAGTAACTCTTCTTGTAAAGGGTGTCCCACAAGATCACATATCTCGATGCCCTTAGTCTCAATGTCTTGGCTTCCATCGAGTTTTCTAGGAAAGTTTCTTCTTTTAGATATGCCTGGATGGATGTCATCCAGTTGGCATCAAAGGATGCACAATTGACATTGTCCTCATCTACTTTGAGCCTTCTTGGCTCAAATTGGAGACCCATGAGGGCAGGGCCTGTTGGGATATTTGCGGATGTGAATTTAAAAAATGCATCTACCATGGCATTATCCTTTGGGCATGTGTTGAATTTGAAAGTGGTTGAAGTTTTTCATTAAAGTTTGTACCACTGATAGATATTCTTGCATTATTTCCTCCTTTAACTCGAAGTCTCCCCTCACTTGGTTAACTATAAACTAGGAATCACTATAAACTGAGGTGCCTCCATTTCAATTACGAGCTTCAGGCCTGAGATGAGGGCCTCGTATTCTGCCTTAATTGTTGGATGCCGCAAAATGGAGAAATACAATGTATTTCAGCGGAGTTCCATAGGTCTGATAAGTACCAGCCCTACTCCATTGCTTTCATTAGTAGAAGACCTATTTATGTATAGTTTCCAACATGCTACTACATCGATGGATTTATAGGCTTCTATAGTTGGATACACCCACTCAGGCGCGGTAGTGCAATCAAGTAGGAGGGTGGCAGGTTAAGGTGTGGTTAACAAGGGCATCGGGGTGTCTAGTTCTGATGACACTGGAGTACTAGGCACCAGGGATTTGGGTGCCTCGGGCCAGGGAGCCTAGGCACCAAGGACCTGGGGACTGGTTCGAGGGTGACACGCACCTCAAGGGTGACGCCTAGCCTTGATGTACGGGGAGTCTAGGCGCTGTTCATAGAGTAGGTGATCATAGGGGCGATGGGCACTTCTTTTTGGGAGCCTCTTTCCTCTATTGGTGTAAATTCGGCCACAAAATCCGCATATGCTTGTGCCTTTATGACCACCCTCAGTTGATACTGCACGTTGACCTCGCTCAATTCGATGGCCTATTTGAGGAGCCTTCTAGACACATCTAACTTTCCAAGGATTCCTCTGAGTGGTTGATATATGAGAACCACGATGGTGTGGCTCTAAAAATAGTGTTGTAGGTGCCTGGTTGCAATGACTAGCGTGAGGGCTAACTTCTCCCACTCAGAGAACCTTACCTATGCTCCTCAGTAAGGCCTACTCAAATAATAAACGAGCCTTTGAACTCCTCTTTCCTCCTTAACAAGGATGGAACTCATACTGGAGGTCAAGGCGGATAGGTAAAGGTATAAGGTCTCTCCAGGTACGACATTGGAAAACAATGGGGGTGCACAAAAGATAGGCCTTTAACTTTTGAAAGGCTTCTTTTTGCATTTGGTCCCCATTGAAAAGATTTTTGAAGAATTTTAAAGAAGGGGTAAACACTTATCTGCTGACTTTGAAACGAACTTGCTGAGGGCTGTTATCCTTCAATTAAGACGCCAGACCTCCTTCACAGAGGCTAGAGACTTCATGTCTAAGATAGCTTTAATATTGTATGGATTAGCCTCGATGCCCCTCTTATTGACCATGAAGCCAAGGAATTTACCTAAGCTTACGCCGAAGGCGCACTTTTAAGAATTTAGTTTCATTTGGTAAGCTCTTAGGACGTCAAAGGTCTCTTGTAAGTGTGCTACATAGTTCTCAATGACCAAATGTTTTACCAACATATTTTCCACATAGACATCTATGGTCTTCCCTATCTGTGCCTCGAACATTTTATTCACTAGGTGCTGGTACATGGCTCTGCCATTCTTGAGTCTGAAGGCATGACCTTATAACAGTAGGTTCCTTTCGGGTTGATAAAAGATGTTTTCTCTTGATTTGGGGATAACATGCTAATTTGGTTATGTCCAAAGTAAGCATCTAGAAAACTAAACAGCTCATGACCAACAGGGGCATCAATGAGGACGTCGATGCACGTCTAAGGGTAGTTGTCTTTGGGATTGGTTTTGTTGAGCTCGATGAAGTCCACAGAAAGGCCCCATTTTCCGTTGGCCTTTATTACCATCATGACATTTGATAGCCAAATTAGGTATGCTACTTCGCTCACTGACCCATTTGCTAGTAGCTTTCCCACCACTTTGTTTCATGGCTTGGGCTCTTTTGGTACCAATATTTCTAAACTTTGGGCAGATGGGCTTATGTCTGGGATCCACATTAAGCCGATGGGTGTCGACCTCTGGGTCGATGCCCTCCAGATCTTTATGGAACTAGGTGAAAACATCCATGTTCCACCTGAGAAAATTAATGAGGTGGGTGACTCGATCTTGGGGAAACGAGGAGCGGATATAGATTCTTCTATCTAAAAATTTTTCATCCAGCACTACTGGTTTGAGTTTTTCTACTAGCTTTCCTCTTTCCAGTGTGATGTCATCCTTAGGGTCAAGCACTTCCACTTGCAGGGTCTCTTGAGATTTTTTGACCATCATAGAGGCCATGCAACACTCCCTAGCAGCAACTTGGCCTCCTCTAATTGCTCCATTCCCACATGGAGTCAAGAAATGAAGAATGAGGTGATAGGTGGATGGCACATCCCTTAAGGTATTCGGTGCAGGGCGTCAAAGGATAATGTTATAGACAAAAGAGCAATTTAACACTATGAAGTTCATCATGATGGTGGAGCTTCTTAGTGTAGTTCCTGCTGTGACTGGTAGGGTGATGGAACCCAAGGAATATGTCTTCTCCCCTGAAAATCCAATGAGGGAAATCCTGATGGGTTGTAGTCTCTCTCTGCCAATGTGGAGGCTATTATAGGCTGGTGCAAATAAGACATCAGCAGAGCTACCGATGTCTCCTATGATTCTCTTAACTTGGTAGTTGACTACCGTCATGATCAAAATCAAAGGATAGTCGTGGGGGTGCTGGATCCCCTCGAGATCTTTATCTGAGAATGAGATAACCTCTCATTCCCCCTGCTTGTGCGTCTTTATTGGGTGAGGGTCGTCAGAATCTACATATTTGGCTCTCCTAACATGTGCCTTCCTGCCTGAGTTGGAGTTGCCTCCTCCTCCTAACCCTCCAAAGATCATCTAAATTTCTCTGAGGGTTTATTGGTGCTCTCTGTCATCCTAGTTCTGGCCAGGTGGTGGGGCCTGTCCTCTGCCAGTTATGTACTACTGTAGCTGGCCACGTTGTATGAGGTCCTGAATCTCTCCCTTCTTAGCTTTGCCATAGTGATGGGTTTTGTTGGCGGATGAGGGACATCATCTTGACGTGTTGGATCATTATCCTTCACTTGCTGATTCATTGACCTAGTTGTAATAGCCATGGGGAAAGATAGATGATAGTAGCAAACTCATTCGTTTTTCACATATGACGCCAAAATGATGATGCACAAAGTTAATTATGCACGATTGAGTCAATCAAGTGTGTGTTGTAAAGTAATTAATAATAAAAGACAAAGACTGGGTGATTGGGTCTAGGTGGCCTAACCACTGAAGGTGGCAACGGTGGCCAAAGAACTCTAATGAGAAAGTACAAGATAGTAGGAGGGAGAGAGAGAGAGAGAGAGAACAGAAGTACGTTTAGGGTGGAGCGTGTGTTCCTTGTATAAGGGGTTTACAATTTATAGGCACAGAGCCCTAACTGTGGCGGTGACGTGAATGTTAAGTTACTAATTTACCGGGATGGATACCTACAATTGTGATAGACACTATCTTATAGTAATGACTATCCCAATGATTTCTCTCCAACGTGCGTTGACTCTTTTTGGACTCTTGAAATTTAGACTGGACTATGGCCATGAGCTAAGTCTAGCTTGCCTTTTGATAATTTGGGCTTAATCCATAGACAAGGCCCAAGCCTGGTCTAGATCTGGGCTCATCCGTTCATATTGATCTTCCTAAATATACGATTCAAATCAGACTGTGAATTAGGCTTGATGGCGTAAATTAACGTGGATGAGCAGAAG